GCACGGCGACAATCGACAATATGAGCCAGGGCCAGTTGTGTAATTGTGTTAGTTACGTAATTTTATTGTATACAGCGTTGTCAAACTGTGACACAAAGTACCTACCTAACGAAATATCAGTAATTCATATATTAAGGCTGTATGTTACGAAAATTAAGTACTAAATTTAGAACTAAATTAATGCATTTTTAAAGTACTCACAAAATTCATGGTGCAAACAGCAAATTTAGTATTAAATGTATTACTAAAAAAATTAATTAATTAATTGGAACTTTTATTTTCTACTAAATTTAGTATTAAAAATGCGTTGAAATGTTGTGCAGAAGTTTTTTTTCAGAAAAAGTTGACACACTCTTTCGTCTCGTCTTGTCTAGCGGCATCACTAGGCTTCGTTTCCATATAATTATTTTAACCCTCCTTAACCATTTATTTTTATTTAGATTTTTTTCAGAATCAATTGGCTTCATCCCGTTACAAAGCTTAATTGAATCGGTTATTTTGAAAAGGGGGTCAACTTCATAAATTTTCAATAGGAGTTGACCCCTTTTTAAAACGACCGATTTAATTTTTCCTGAAGATTTCAATCTGATATCGTTTTTTGTTGCTGAGTTAGGTTTTTTCAATATTTCAAGCCCCCGTAACCCCCATTTTTATTTAGAGTTTTTCAGAATTAATAGAGATGAAAAAATGTCATGTTGCTTTTCGTTTTTGAGTTACGATTTTTTTTTTATTTCAACCCCCCTTAATCCCCACATTTTTAATCAGATTTTTTTCAAAATCAAAGAGCTTCTTTTACTTTCACTTTCAAGTTGATATCTTTTTTTGTTTTTGAGTTAGGAATTTTTTAAATATTTCAACCCCCTTAACCCCCATTTATGTTTAGATTTTTTCAAAATCAATAGGCTTCATCCCCTTATAAAGCTTGATTTTTTCTGAAATTTTCAAACTGATATCGTTTTCAGTTTTTAACTTATCGTACGGACAAAAAACGTGACATCGAACGGGTGGACAAACAGACGGACGGACGAAGCGAATACTTCTCACAGACTACTGTGTGAAGAGTATATTAATAAAAATATCCTTGGTTTATTCGGTCTTTTTTATTTTCAATTGTTTAGCACAGCACTACATGTTTAGGAAAACTTTTCCATCTTCGGGTGACGTCATAAATTAATAAAACATGGGAACGATTACAAACAATTTACAAAATGTTTTTAAAATAACAGAAACCCCATCTTTCTGTTTCATCGTATGAAGATGTATTCGAAATATTCGAATATGTTAGTCACAGATAACTGTATTTTTTGCTTGTAGCAAGTAAGAGGCCTCCACCTTTAGAAGTATTCATATAGTTGTGGTTCCTATCATTACGGCATGCATTATAAGTATACAGTGAGCATCTTAAGCCTTACCCCCCTAACTAACTCGTTACTGGGGTCTTGTTAGGAAAATCGCAGAGACAGGTCGATTTTTAATTTCTACAATGTACATTTTTGCATGATTAGTTAACCCTTAATTTCATCCCTTACTGGAGGGTAAAAACCCTTTCGAAAAATTTAAATAGCATGGGGTGGTGAGTGATAGTTCATTTGAAAGGGGGTTTTATTCTCTATTCAACCGTGCAAAAAAAAATTTGAAATTTGCATCATTACATGTTGATTTATTAATGTTTAAAAATAACAAAACCTCACAAAATAGGAAAGCAACTAGACTAATAGTGACCTTCTAATGGCAAAAAGTCTTACTTCACGTCTGAACCAAAACCGAAGTCATGCAGGGCCGAATTTTAATTCTAAGGATGAGTGCGCTACGTTAATTTCCGTTATTCTGAAACAACAATTAGTCGAGAATTAATGAAGCAAATTTCAAATTTTTTTACACGGTTGAATAGAGAATAAAACCCTCTTTCAAATGAGCTATCACTCACCACCCCATGCCATTTAAATTTTTCGAAAGGGTAGCTCCCCTTCAGTAAGGGATGAAATTAAGGGTAAACTATTCATACAAAAATGTACATTGTAGAAATCAAAAATCGACGTGTCTCGGCGATTTTCCTAACAAGACTCCAGTAACGAGTTAGATAGGGGAGTAAGACTTATGGTGCTCACTGTAGATAAGGGTCAAATAGCTCGGCATCATAAACACTATCATTAAAAGCAGTTTCCGTAAGTATCATATTGTCGTGCTGAGGAGCGAGAGAACCATACCGAACATAAAATTTTTCCTACGACCACTTAGGAAAGTGACACATATCACACTATATAGTCCTATGGAAAGTGTCCTATATCACACGCGTATGACTAAGAATTTACTTTCCACCCAAGTGAGAATATGTTACTTTCCGCAGTAGTTGTCAAAAAATGTCAAACGCCTAATTTCTATTTTGATCTATGTAATGTCCATATTAATACTAAAATCGATATGATTGTTAAATTATTGAAATTGTTTTAAATTAGATCCTAGATATTTATCTTTAACAATTATTATTAAAATAATTTTAAAATAACTAAGATTATGTTTGCTCTTTAATTTGGGTAAATACATAACCGATTAGATCATTCAATTGACGTAAGGCCCATTAGCTCAGTTGGTTTAGACGTCGAACTTATCAACTTTGCCATTTTTTGACCGCGTTCAATCTATGGTTCAAATCCTGGCGGAGCCGAATTTTTTTTTTGTTTTTTTTTTATTTTTTATTAGTTTTTTTTGTTTAGAAAATATGAAAATTGAATAAATACGATTATTGTTGATTATTTTCTTAAATACATTTTAATTAATATAGTAATAATAACCTTGGTTTTACATTTTTTTGATGACATTATTTTGTGGTCGTAGGAAAAATATTGTACATCACTTGTGTGAAAAGTGATTTTCCACACTCGTAATGTAATATACTATTTTACATTTGCCTAAAATACTCCTACAGTTTTGGTAAAAGATGTTCAGACAATTATTAGATATACACATTTTTTTGTTATTCACACAGAGTCCACCATTTGCAAACGGTTCATGCTATTTTATGCCTAAGTTTACACAATTATTATTGTTACAAGTAAAATTATGTTCATCACAGTTCTACAATTTATTTGCAAAGGGCATTTGTAACAACGTCTCATGTCAATAGCCTCAAATACCTTACAATAATCGTACCCAATTATTTTATGTTGAAAATCAATGATTTTTTTATAAGTAAATGAATCGACCTGCACTAGGGCTTGAAAAACTTTATTATGCTTCAAGGGCTGTATTAAAACTATCTCATATATGCTATCATCAGTGACTAACGATTTAATTAGACTTCTAAGATAATTTAAAAATGTGTCCTTATCATAGGACTCAGGCAGACCAACGACACGCACTCTAGGATGTAGACGAATAACTTCTCTGACCGAATAATTGTTTATTAATTTGGTATCTGCTAGTTGCTTCGATTTATTATTTACACAACGAACAGCGATTCATCCCTGGCTCAAGTTTGTCACCCTATTGATCATTTGCAAGACATTTGGTCACATTTGGGTACGATTTTTAATTTTGACTCGAATCACCATTATTAATGCTTTCGATAAATGAATTTTTAGCACACATTTGTAAATCGTTGTTGAGATTGGCAACTGTCTAGAGTTACGTAGTCTTGCTAGACCTTCGCAGTAGCACAATACGTGTTCTGCCGTTTCCTCCTCTTCCTGACAGAATCGACACAAGGTCTCTTCTGTCAGACCGATATTATACATATGTTTGTTAAGCCTACAATGCCCTGTCAATAGATTTACTAGTACTCTAGTATTTTTCCTATTAAGGTTTAGTAGATGCTCGTTGAGTTTAGGCGATGGTCCTTTTAAGAACTATTTGGCCTGTCTCTGTCCTGGTGAGTTTTTCTACCCCTCCTGAGATTTTTTAAACATCCGCTGCTTTGTGCATGTTCTGATAGTGGTTTTTGTTACACCACAGAAGGGGTCTGGGCCAATAAGAGCATTTGAGGCTCCTTCTCGGGCTAGTAAATCAGCCTCTTTATTGCCCTTATGTCCTCTGTAGCCTGGTACCCAGGCTAAGGTTAGTCTCTTTTGACTACCCAGCTCTGTTAGGGCTTCCAAACAAGCTTCCACACAAGCTTTGAGTGTATCTGCATGGAACTGAGTGCTTTTATCGTCGCTTGACTGTCTGAGTATATGACAATGGTTTTTCCATTTACCTTCTGTCTTAATACCTCTTGTGAGCTCAGTGAGATTCTTGTCTTTGGCTTGATACTATATATACCTACTCCTGAACCTTCATGGATTTTGGAGCCATCTGTATACCAGGTGAATTCTGCATGAATAGGAGGTCCTCCCGTCCAGGCTTCCCTGTCTGGTATACTTACTTTATATTGCTTTTGAAAGCTTACTTTGGGAACTTTTCGTCTGAAGACATTTATATTATTTGGTCGTACCCCAACTCTTTATATAGCTCGCTGTAGTCACGTCCATGCAAACTGCTTATGAGTGATGAAACTTTGTGCAGTCTGTATGCGACAGACCTGGCTTCGCCTTGAATGAATATACTCGTATGTAGTGGTGTTAGGTTTAGCATGACTTCTATAGCTGCTGTTGGAGTCGTTCTCATAGCTCCCGTGGTACTCAGGCATGCTTGCCTTTGAATACCATTGAGATATCGAATGGCTCCAGCTTGCCGAGTCTTTGGCCACCGTACCACCGATCGAGGTTATCATCGGCCTTATGACTCTATTATATAACCATAGGGACATTTTCGGTTGTAGATGATACTAAAATCTAGAATTAATTAGTGTCTGGAGTTACACACTTTTCAGGTTTCGCCGTCGATATATAAAATGAAGACTACAAAATTATTTGTAAACGTTTAATATAAGTACATTTCAATACATTATAAAAATTACAAATAAATATAATTCAACTAAAAAAAATAAAATAATTCGTTATAGGTACTTCGTTTCAGCATACCGTCTCTTGAGCAATCATGGAAATCCCGGAATTTTTTCTCTTTTACCAATGTGGTTTGGTAATAATTTTTGCAACTACTCCTACACCTCCAGTTGCAATCTGAAATTAACAAATAACAAATAAATAGTACATTAATTTATACTAAGGGCCATAAGTGAAAGAAGAGCAACTTTTAATCCTAAGGTAGCGAGTGTAATGACTTGGTAACTAGATAAACAAATATTTATTTTTTTCGAAAAAGCAGCAGGTTTCAAGTCATCTACATTGTGGTCGCAATATGCCGAGAGCTACCATGGTTTGAAAAATTATATTAACAGTAACTTTACAAAATTGGTCAGATATTTGAAACGATTTATTCTCAGATATCAAGTAAAAATTAAGTCACTCTCACAAAATGACAAATTGAATAATTCCTCTCTGAAATACCATATGTAAAAGTAATTTTACCTCTCACTCACAATTTAATTGTATAAGTATAAGAATAATGTTTTTTTATTCTATTTTATAATGATTATAAGCATAGCTAGAGATAGAGAAGTAAGATATTATCAATTATTGTACGTATCTGTCCAAGATGTCTAATAATTTATAATTTTGGTGCCCTAAAAATCACGTCGGTAGATCCTTTGCCGTTGTATATATTATTTGTCACGACCATAAAAATACAGTCATACATCACGTGTTTAAATATCCTAATGTACAAAAATGTTTGTATTCAGTCTTAATCATACAATAATACCCATTAAAATGTAAAACTTACAGTTCCTGATGGTCCAGCTACTATCACATTGGGGGGAGGTATTAAAGGAGCAGCCACAATAGCAGGTGGAGGAGGAGGACCGGCAATTATAACAGGTGCCGGAGCAATTATCTAAAATTTAAATATTCTTCTATAAGAAAAGTGTTGCAATTATTAGGTATTTATCATATTCCAAAATCGAATATGACAACCACATGCGACAAAATCAATAAAATGTTTTTACAACAATTTTCTAAAGTAAAATCACTTATTTTGTAGATTAACTTTGTGCCTTTAAAATTTTAATTGCTAGAAACCGAAATGTAGAAATAATGGCAGATTTATTAAAATAATTTATTTTCAGATAGCATCTCTTTGATTTAAAAAGGCAAAGTAATCATTGGTCAAGTTTTGACTTTAATGAGCAACACGTTCACCGGATATTAGCAATTAATTAAAGTAGAATATATGGAATTGAGATTCGGTTATTCACATTCTATGAAAATACACTATTTTTGATTGTTTTATTTGTTTTTCGTCCCATATGAACATTATTATTCTTTAATAACTAAACAACCATAATTAATTATTACCTTTGGTATAGCAATAGGAGCAAGATGCAAAATTGGGTGGATTGGGTGGACTGGGTGAACTGGTGCAATTGGTGCAATGATTCCTGGACTGACAGCAGCAGTAATTACACCACCTGGTTTGGGTGGCGCTACAATGGTACCCCCAGAAGCAGATCCAATAATGGTAGTGCCATCAGGTCCTGTAACTGTAGATTTAACTGAAGGTCCTTGGAGAATAGTGCCTGGCTCGCTGGGTCCAACAACAGCTATTGGTGGTGGTGGAGGTGGTGGTATGTGATGTATATAGGAAGCACGAGCAGAAGCAAATGCAAAAAAGGTGAACACTACCTGTAGAAAAAAAAAAGTTATTGAAGATTTTTTTAGACGATTGTTGTTAAGATTTATTTTATTATGGCCAACAAGAGATAAATTTCCTTAGCTTTCATTTAAAATTTACCTAGCGGATTTTTTTAAGACAATATTAATATCAATACTTATAAAAGTGCTTTATATTAAAAAAACAGGTTAAACCCCAATTATAGGACACATACAAACTTTAATTTAATAGCTTTGTGCTTCATATATTCAAATTGATCCTGAAATTTAATAAAATATTGAAACTAAACCTAATGATGATATTGACTGAGTAAGTACTCAATAATTTTTCGATTAGTGCTAGTTAAGGAGTCCAAGTTTATGAGCTGAGCTTGTCCGGGGATATTATTATTACTATTATTATTATTATTATTATTATTATTATTATTTGCCGTCTTAAAGTTGATTGATGGTGTCATTTGACTTACAGGTGAGAATAAACCATTGAAATATAAAGTAGTAAGGGAGGAGTGTATGCCACATTTCCAATAGGATAAAGTCTAATAATGGAAAATGTAAATAGATTGTTTTGTATTTCTCAGGTAAGACCATACAACCCTTTGATTAATCAGGTAACAAGTGCCTGTGATGAAGCTTCTTTAGCTCTTCCTTGACCTTCTCTTTTTCAACAAAGTTGTACATACATATAGAGTCGGAAGAGAACATTCCTGATTGCCCTCGTAAAAAGAAGCTCAAAAGACAAATCCAAAACTTGGAAGCACATAATGAAGTCGAGAATATGAAATTAAGGAAATAACAGAGAACCGTATGGAGACAACAGAAAGTCATCAAATATTTAAAGAGAATAATGCTAGAACTCAAGAAAAAACTGAGTAGGAAGAAAAAAATATTGTTTTGGAAAATTTTGGAAATAATAAAGAAACTGTTGAACAACTATTTAGAAAAACCTTAAGGAAGAGTGTATCTAAGACATTTAACAAAATGTTTGCAATTATACTACATTATAATCAAACAATATAATTGACCAGATAAAAATTTGATAAATCGTTACAAATAATGTTAAATTGTAAAAATCCTGAAATTTGAATATCCACTTTTAAAAACACTATGTTTTACTGACTTTTTAATCTAATAAAAATATTTCCTCTCCGGATAAATCCCATCAATTTTAAATGCAATATATTTCATAAATTTGAGCTGGATAGATTCAATAAATACTTATGCTAGATGTACTAATGAGATGAATAATACAAAATAAAAAAGTGTATAGTACTGAAATCTTTGCAATTTCTCAAAATGACTAAGCATTTTCTTACCTATGAATGAAATGTTAAATGAGGTAAAAAAAAACAACTTCTTTTTAAATCAGATCTCATTGAACTTGCATTTTTGAAAGTTAAGAGGCATAATAATATATCAATTATTTAATTTGTCTAAATAATTTTGTCTATACAATCGTTTTGTGAATTTGTGGCAATAATAAACTTGAAATCATTAGCAGATATTAAGTATTCTTTCTTAAAGTCTTTACTTAAGTCATTAATAAAATAATAATAATAATAATAATAATAATAATAATAATAATAATAATAATAATAATAATAATAATAATAATAATAATAATAATAATAATAATAATAATAATAATAATAATAATAATAATAATAATAATAATAATAATAATAATAATAATAATAATAATAATAATAATAATAATAATAATAATAATAATAATAATAATAATAATAATAATAATAATAATAATAATAATAATAATAATAATAATAATAATAATAATAATAATAATAATAATAATAATAATAATAGAGCCAGATTACTGCCTTGGGGTGGCTCCACTGTTAGCCACAAAAGAAGTTTGATTTTTGACCGTTATATTCATCATAAAGAGAACGAGCAGTTAAATATAACTTAAAAAACTCCAGGATATGGGAATCGAAATCAAGATTATATAATTTCTACAAAATAATATTGTGATCTTTCCTATTGAAGGCTTTTGATATTGAGAAGTCTGTATTATATTGTATGGACTTCTAATTGTTCATCGAGTGAATTACATACTCTCTGCGTGCAACACTTTGAGTTGGTTAATCCGTGCTGTTGCAAAATGATACCTACTTTTTGACCGATGATTTGAGTTCAATAAAGAATTAGTTATACGATAAAGGTATAGCCTGTTATAATTCTTATTATATACGAAAGGTAAGAGCTTTAAGTAGTCAGTAATCAAAAAATTTGCCGCGGAAAACCGCGGATTAGTATTTTTTCAGCACTTCGCATTTTTTTGTTAAAAACATCTATTACTTATTAGTAGGAGAAAAATCGAAATATGGTAGCCTTTTACAAAAAGAAGATGAATTATGGATTTTTAATTGACTGTTATTTAGCAAATGAGCTGAATTTTTTAAAATTTTTATTTGAAGTTTTTACTTTAGTGCCCTTATTTTCTATTTGTAAACTTTCAAAACTATCGCTAAAAGAGTGGTTTTCAGCCAAAATATGATTGGCAAATGTGAAGTTATTATAACTAATATAATAATAATAATAATAATAATAATAATAATAATAATAATAATAATAATAATAATAATAATAATAATAATAATAATAATAATAATAATAATAATAATAATAATAATAATAATAATAATAATAATAATAATAATAATAATAATAATAATAATAATAATAATAATAATAATAATAATAATAATAATAATAATAATAATAATAACGGGTCTTTATTTGCACAAAATAATTACATTTTTGTACAGTTAGCATAGGCGAGGTTTAGCCTGTGGCTATTCTTACACCTAACCCTAACAAAACATATACATTTAAATAACTATAATATTAAAAGTTTATCAATACAATTTTGACATTAGTAGCTCATTATATCTACCAGTTTACATTTGACTAATAAAGAGTTGCCTTTTTGAAGCATTTTTAAAAACAGGTAGAGATCGTGATTTTTTAATATCGGTATGTAAAGTGTTGTACAGTACAACCGCGTTATACGAAAAACTACGATTATAAATAGCACTAAAGTGACGAGGCATTGATAAATTAAAATTGTTTCTTATGTTTACATTGTGCGTAGACGATCTAAAAGTTAATTTGCTCATAAGATATAATGGTGACGCAGTAGAAAGTATTTTAAAAAGAAAAGAAAGGAACATAAATATATATAAATTATTAACAGTTATCCAGCCAGTTTGGGAGAAGGCTTGGGAAATATGATCGAATTTTCTAAGTCCTTTTTCGAATTTGCAGCATGTATTCTGCATAATTTGCAAACGGTTACGATCAGCAGCTGTTAAACAAGGATAATACACAACAATTCCATGTAATATTTTTGAAATTACAAGGCTTTGGCAAAGTTTTAGTTTTATAGATTGGTTCTGTAGGATGTGTTTATTAGAATAAAGCAAGCGAAGACCACTATAACACTTTTGTAACACATAGTTGACATGTTAAATGAACCTCATTTGATCGTCAAAGTAAAACCCTAAATTTATAGACTCAGTTTCATGTGGAATAGATTCACCAGATATCATCAGAGTTGTATTGTTCTTTATATATTGTCTAATATTTTTACTACAGAATAATAATAGTTTGGATTTCGAAACATTAATGTGAAGGTTATGATTAGACGAATAGTTATCAATTTTTTTAAGATCTTGATTAATCTTATCAACTGCAGTAATGACTTCATTCGGCGAAAAATCGAGGAACAGCTGAGTGTCATCAGCAAAAAATTGGACTGCACAATTATTTACGTGTTTGTAGAAATCCGAAGTATAGAGTAAGAAAAGCAGGGGCCCTAGGACTGAACCTTGTGGTACACCAGATTTGATTTGAATGGATGTTGATTTCTGACCGTTTACTGTAACTAACTGTGATCGTTTACTTAAGTATGTTTTTATGAAACCTAATGAAATTCTATCAAATCCATAATATTGATGTTCAGATGACGCCTCGGATGACGCTTTTTGAAAATACTGCCCGTTTGACCAATATACATATTTTGACAACCACCAAAATTTAATTTTTATAAAATTAATGTTGCCTTTAGTTTGTATAAGGTTCCTTAGTGTTTTGCACAATAAAATAGTTATATTAAAAATAAAAATTAATACATTTGCGAAACATATTTTTACTGAAAACTAGTCTGTGAGAGATAATTTTTAGTATTAAATATAGAAAATAAGGCACTATCTACAAACGCTTGAAATGAATAAAGATTTCAGATTATCTGCTAATGATCAATTAGAAATCAATAATTCACCTTTACCTAATCCTTTTAACAGATTCTTAGTATTCTGTGCGATAATCCCATTAATAGTAAAACATTACATTAATTTAAACTCATTAACAACTTAAATTACTTTAACCATTATTATTAAAATTTAGATGAATATAATGAACAATTTGAAATCAATAATTCACCTTAATCTTTTAAGTGATTCTTAGTATTATGTAAGATAATTCCAGTAATGGTAACACATTCTTACTCGTAGTAATTTAATCCCATTAATTACTTTAACCCTATTGTTAGTTTTTAGATTTCTCCTAGTTATGATTATGAATTTTAATAAAGTAACAAAAAATAATCTAAAAATTATGATTGATGTTAAATACATATTTAAAAAATTTATTTTTGTTTAGGTTTACAAAGTAACTCGGTTTTACGAATTGTGACCCGTAAATATTTGTTCTGTCGCATGCAGAATTTAGATTTGCCTAGTTTGGAAGAAAAACTTGATTTCTTAAAAGAACAACTTTTGTCGTGCGAAGGATTCACCGAAGACCAAATTCAGTGTTTGAAATGCAGTTACGTACCCTTCAAGTCTCAAGTGAAAGAAAGGTGGTTGAAAGCACATAAAAAGGAAGACGTATTTTACAAATACAATGATGCATGGTTAAACGGAACTTTTGCGATTCCCGTGGTTACACAAAATAGGCTAGGCCGGCCACGTTAAGTCATTTGGAGAGTCAAGTAATCGAACTAAAAGGAGTAAAACTGAGGAGATTCGATCTACTTCAGATAAAGAAGTAATCATACATGCTGCTCAAGTAGGTAGAATTGCGGAAAGCTCGAAACCAAGATGCTTCCGATGTACTCAAAGATCTCACCAGTTCTCCAACACGTGCAACTAAATATAAAAAAGCGTTATATAAATCAAAAAGTGAACTTGCTCTCTTACTCCATTACAAGCATTAGTAATGTTCGTAGAAGCCGATTTAACTCGTCGGCAATATGAAATAATTAGAAATATTAATTAAAAATTATTCCCTTGATATATTATAAAAGATAAAACAAGAATGCTATCCACCCGCAGAATCATGCAGAGTAACTAGTACCTGTGCGGAGAGCGATTTACAGCCTTTAGTTGACCTTGCGCTTGTCAATATTCCTAGAAGAGGTCCTGATATCATTGAAAGAACAAGAACGAGATAACCTGAAGATAATTTGTAAATGGGGTTGCGATGGATCTCAGCAATCTTAGTTCAAACAAAAATTTGAAAATGATGCCAATTCAGGTTCCAGTTCAAGAAGAAGAAGTTGTGTAAATCAACCTAATGTGTTTTGTTATATAGGCGGAGCATACATGTTTCAACAAAACAGACAAACTATTACTGACTTTGTAAAGCGAGCGTATCTTGGATATTTTAGAGTTAACCTTGGTGATCAGGACAAAAAGTGGGCCCCATATCTCGTATGTAAAACTTGTACAGAGCATTTACGGCAGTGGACTACCGGGAACAGAAAATGTCTAAAATTCGGCGTACCAAAAAACTACTTCAATGATAGTTATTTCTGTTTAGTAAATACTAAAGGAATTAATCGAAATAACCGCAGTAAGTGGACTTATCCCAATGTAGACTCGGCAATACGCCCTATCCCGCACTCAGATGAAATACCGATTCCAACATTTCATCAGATATCTCTGATGACGAATATTTTCCCTCTGATCGCTGTTCTGATGATAATAAAAGTTCTGATGCTAATGAAACTAACAGTGACTATGAGGAGACGTCATCAATTCCTCAACGCTTCAATCAAAATTAATTAAATGATCTCACCATGGATCTCAATTTATTGAAAAAAGCTTCTGAAGTACTGGCTTCTAGGTTGAACGACAAAAATTTATTGGTATAAGGAACCAAAATTACCTTTTACCGTACAAGAGAAAAGTATCTGCTACCATTCTTTTCTCAAGAAGACAATCTTGTATTTTGTCACGAAATTAATAAACTCATGAAAGAAATGGGACTTTCTGAATATATTCCAGATGATTGGCGCCTATTTATTGACAGTTCAAAGCGAAGTTTAAAATGTGTCCTTCTACATAATGGGAAACTGAAAGAAGAATATAATACCGTAACTTTGGTCTTGCAGAAGATAAAGTATCACGAACATCAATGGATGATTTGTGTAGACTTAAAAATGATAAACTTTCTTCTTGGGCAGCAAAGTGGTTACACGAAACATCCGTGTTTCTTGTGCCTCTGGTATAGTAGGGACAAAACACACCACTGGGTTAAAAAAGATTGGCCTCAAAGTGAAAACATGGACGTTGTGGAAAAGAATGTCATTAACGACGCTTTGGTTGAAAGAGAAAAATCATACTTCCTCCGTTACATATAAAGTTGGAATTAATGAAGCAATTTGTAAAGGCTCTTGATAAGAATGGGTCATGTTTTGCATATATAGGGGTAAAAATGCATCAGTTAAGCACAAAAAACTCAAAGCAGGGATATTTGATGGCCCACAAATAAGACAATTAATTAAGGATCCTGCCTTCGTAATTTCAATGAATCAAGTTGAACGAGAAGCATGGACATCATTTGTTGCAGTTGTAGAAAATTTTCTAGGCAGACATAAAGCTCAAAACTATGTTGAAATGGTTAACAAGATGCTTAATAGTTTCAAATCCTTAGGGTGCAATATGAGTATTAAAATACACTATTTACACAACCACTTAGACCGTTTTCCAGAAAATCTAGGAGACATGAGTGAGGAACAAGGTGAAAGGTTTCACCAAGATATTAAAGTTATGGAGGACCGCTACCAAGGAAGATGGGACATGCACATGATGGCAGATTACTGCTGAAGTTTAAAAAGGGACTGTTTAAAAAAAAGAAGCTTTTGAAGTGTTGAGTGACTATTTGATTTCTTCAATGTTTTTTTTGTTTGTAAGTACGACATAATATTGTATTTTGTACAACTAAAATAAAAATTTCGTATCTACTTTTGTTTACTACACTTACGGATTTGAGTTAAAATAATGTAAATATTTCTCTAAAATTGTATTAAAAATTTGAGCTCTTAGGTAAAAATGAATACGTTATTTTAATTCAGGACATCAAATTGATATAGAATCAGCTCAAAAAACCTCGACACCAAAACAGCTGTTCCCCTGTGTAATGTTAGATAAAATTGTATATCTATGTTTTTTTATTAATAAATATAGATTAATTAAACATTAAAACCTTTGTTTTATTTATTAATATCGTTTAGACTCGATGTAAACCAATAAATAATTTTGGCCGCGTATATCGTTCAAATACCCCTCTGTGCATCGTCGATGTTAAAACGCTAGTCGGCTAAGTACCATGGTGACACGGCCCATTGTAAAACGTCCCAGTGGTCATGCATCCGCGATGTGACCGGAGAGAATACGGCTTAACTGTCGCGACAATGTGGATGCACACTAATCTCGCGAAATGATACTTGGTCTGACCATAGGAAATATTCTATCATTAACACCGTTGCAAAGTTAGAAAGTACAGTAACAGGGCAGTAATTTGTAATTGGAATATTATCATGACTAGATGTTTGTTTCGGTTTAAGCCTTTTTAGAGCATTAAATAAATGTCCTGATAGTATTCTTAAAGAAATTCACAAGCATTAAAGAAAAATATAATACATTATGAAACAAAAATAATAGCATATTGTTTTACAAGTAACGAAAATAAATTATTTTCAATAAGTAAAACACTATACTTTTTCTACGAACGCCATTATGCCATGTACTAAAATAAAATATAAAAAACAATCAAAAGATGCTTTATTCGTATTAAAAGCGACAAAAATCTTCAATATTTAAAACTGCACACTGACAGTTCTGAATAGAAGTAGGTTATTTTAAATTTTTATATTATTTTTATCATTTTATTTTGTTTTATTTCAGTGAAAAAGAAATAAATACATTTAGATTTTAATGAGCATGCTTTTATTTTATTATTAATAATATAAGCTGCCAATATAGTTCTGAGGCGGATAATATATGAAAATATGCAACAACTTACTTCCGTCTCTAGAGACGAAAGTTACCGAATTTTCTTTGACTGTGGGGCGAAAATCAAGTTTTCACTGTATTAGAAAGGTGTCTTTGTGTCGCGGAAGTCGCAGGAAAAATATTTTATCTCCTCTTACGTTTTAGTATATTTTCTTAGGCCAAAAATAAGTTTAAAGTATTTAAAATATTTTTTATATGTTTATTTAGATAAAAATTTGAATGTAATTTAAACTTACCAGTGACTTCATGATGTTACAACACAATATACCTACTCAATGAAATGTATCTTAAAACGCATTAACTTGATCTATATTTATAGGTATACTCCTGATACACCTTAGAATAATTTACGGCATTCTCAACGCCTTCCTTATGGGTTTGTTTCTAAACAATATCCTCCTCGTGTCCCTCAATAGCCAATCAATAACGGATTATTTTTTTTTATAAATATTTGTAACGTAATCTTTAAGAACAATTTAATATCGAAAGTACCGATGCTCAAAAAAGTAGATAAAATATTTAACGGAATATTTGGTGGAAAACTGAACAAAGTGGAATCAGAAAATTAAACATTCTGAAAAACTGTGATTACCATTTTTTACTTGCGTTGATGTAATAATAAGGTATAAATTATATATTCAATTAAGAAGAGATATATAATAAATCTTCTGAAACTACATTCTGCTGGAAAATCTAATTCACTGAGGCCAATACGGCCCATTCGTGCCAACGCAAAAAATGTCTTACCGCCACTTTTTAGCACTTGTTTCCACGTTTCCGATCATTCCGTATTCAAAAAGACAAAAAAATGTCATCTGTACGTGTGCATATGTATGTCGGTACGATAACTTTAGAACGAAAGCGCCGATCGACTTGCGGTTTTAATTTTCTTGAATATTCTCTTCTAACTTAGAACTAGGGGTGGGCAACTTAATACAACGCAGCCAACCAAATACTTTTTGGACCTGGTCCTTCTATTGGCCTGACAAAATCTGTAGTGACAGACCTAATCAAAGAACATTCCCTTGTGAAATTCAAGGAAAGATGGGATGAAACAAGAAACTGCAGAGTTGTCAGGGAGCTCTTAAGTTATCCTGACAACACTGCAGCAAACAAATACTTGACTATGACTAGACAGAATATGTGCCTAGTCACAGGCATTCTGACTGGTCATTGCCAAGTACGAAAGCATCTCCATATCATGGGGCTGTCAGAATCCGCACTCTGCAGAGGGTGCGAACAAGAAGATGAGACCATCGAGCATATACTTTACGATTGCCCGACGCTCTCATTTATTAGAAGATTTGTGTTCGGCGAGTATCGACTAACACCGGCCGATATAAGAGAAGCGCCTCTTAGCGACGTTGTCAACTACATAAAATCTGTAGGCTGGCTCACGAGCTAGGAGGTGCCTATCATCTCAGGAGGATGCACAATGGGTCTAATGAGGCCCAAGTGCCGTGGGGGTAACCCACCCTCCACAAGTTACAGATACAGAGATATGTAAATCTAGTCATTTGAATTATATCTGTCATGCTCTGTCATTACAAATGCGCGGTGATGCCAAGTGTCCAATTAAAATCAACGAAAAAGTACCTTATTTTTGACATATTTCTAAACACTTTTAAAAGCACTAACCTCTAGTAATTTACTTCCACTCACATCCGACGATTTATTTATCCATTTTGATTGAATTTTTGTAGTACATAATAATTAAATATTAATATTACATCACCTATAAAGTAATAAACAATGTAATTTTTGAAAAATTTTAATCATAATTAGTTACTTTGTGTTATGCAAAGGTTTTTTAATCTTTTTGAAACAATTGCATTAATTTGTTTGACAAATGACGCCAGCCAGAAAACTTTAAAGACTACTGTCAACTAAAGAGGATAGCTGAATTAGTTCAAATTGTGCTAGGTTAGGTTAGGTCGTAGTACATTAAATTTAAAATAAAACTGTTAAAAGCGAATTGCTAACTTCATTAGCTTGAATACACCCTTGAGTTATTTTGGTGGGCCTGGTATATTTCTAACTGACATACTGATAATCTGATTTATTTTGTAATTTTTTTTATCCAAAACGCTATTTGTAAACCAGAATTCAAATAATATTAGAAGTTCCCTGACACACCGCGCCCGCCAAATTTAGAAACGTCGACCACGCGCTCAGTTTAAACCTACACTATAAGGCTACACTCGCCTTGTCCTAGTGCCCATGTCCAAACCACAACAGAAGAGAGCGAGTTAAGCGAACGGCGAGGTGTGAAAAAGGTGCTTCCGGCCAACATATCGAAATTCGCGCTGTTGACCGGAAGGGTCCTTTGCACACGTACAATATCACGCTTCGCTCGTCCTACCCACCTCCTAACTACTACAGAAGACAACGGATGAAGCCAGAGGGATGTTAAAAGAGTATGTTCACTTCGCTTGATCTTTCCTGTTCTTGTCAGAACGCACGTGGAACGAGCGTCGAGCGTAGTGTCCTCTTATGGTGTAGGGGTAGAAAAGGCGCGCCCGGCCGGTGTTTCGAAATTCGCGCGAATTTCTAAACGTTGGACGGGCGTGCTTGCTTCGCTCGCTCTCTTTTGTAGTGGTTAGGCAGCTGGTGGGATAAGCGTACCGTGCTTATGGTGTAGGTGTAAAGGTTGTTGCGCATTTGTACGTCACAGCACGTCCCGTCTCTGTCCGTCTCCAGACGCCAACGGACACTCCGTTGCCCACTTTGTGGTCGAAACGAAACTGACAAACCGTCCTGACCGCTAAAGATGTTTTTAGTTTAATAAATGTTGCAATTTCTTTATATACATATGTCGTTTTCCTGATATTGATTGTGGTAGGCTTTGTCACTATGAACCGATTCCACCGTTGTGTTAAACGGTCATTTTATTCTTATTTTAGTAATTTAAACTTCGTTTAACACAACGGTGGAATCGGCCTTCAAGCCGTAAATTTCCTTATACTTTTGGACCGATCTTTTCACCTCTGAGTAAAGTTACATGTAGAATTACTTGACAGATTAACAAACAATAGCCCTATAGTTTAATCAGCAAGTAGTCACTTTCAACTTTACTCAGATGTGAAAAAACTGGCCCTAAGCAAATTAATTTTTCCCCGTCCATTTTTAACATAAGACACTGATCATCTAGGATACTTAGAAACAACTGCCGCAACATGGGTAACAGATATGCGCACAACAGGATCACAAGATGCTGACCACCAATTAATTATATTTAATGACAATTCTCAAAAAAAAATCAAATATGGTCACCATTGACGTCAAATCACATTACTATACGAGGCAAGAGAGAGGTCCGACACGCCCAACATAGGGCGCGGCCATTTTGAACCCTGTGACACAGTTTACAGCTAAAGAATCAGATCGCTCACTCTGCGTCGGCACTTTGGATCTCAATATTTCAGTTTATACACTGTGCAACTCGGATAATACAATATATGACAACCGCCTATAATAAAACAGCAGTCTTCTGCGTATCCTGAATTTGTATCCCTGGAGTGGATGTTATATTGGAACTTTCAACTGGTCCGAGTGAGCTAACTGATTATTTAGCAATAAACTGTGACTTCAAAAATAATATTCACTGACACTGACAGCAGCAAGCAAAATATCAGGTGCGTTTTAATCATCCGCTTCTGCTTCCGGAATTGTCGGTTTAGTCGTTTTAACCTGTCAGATTAAAACAAGAAAACTGACAATTCCGAAGCAGAAGCGGATGATTAAAACGCACCTATTAAAAATATTGCGCCAAGATGTATGCAACACGTAATAAGGGTTCAAAATGGCGGAGTTTTCTATCTCCTTTTAAAAGGCACTCAGAAAGCTGCGCAGTGCGACCATTCTCCGTATAGTAAAAGAAAATCAAGTGCGTCAAATACTCAAGGGCCATTCGCACCGCTTCAGAATAAATTTCCCCTTAGTAAAGTGAAACTTATTATTTAAGTATTACTTATCGTAGTTTAATTCGCACCAGCCTATTAGAAAGCAACGATTAATTAAGTGTCGGATCGATCTGGCAACGTCAAGATTTTTTCTGGAAAAAGAAGAAATAATGTCAAATTTGAATTTTATTTTGAATGATTAATGAAAGCTGCGTTCAATTAGCGATTGGGGTAGCAGAATCAGCTTACTGAACGGTACACTCAATTTACAAAAATTGAATTTGTGTTGAATGATAATTATTCTAATTTAATGAAACGTATCATTTGCAATTGAAAGTGAATTTGTTTATTTGCCACTTGGAGTTTTCATCAACAATTTACAATAATTTTAATATTTAAGTATTTTTTTTTATTATTTTTATCACATTAATGCACAACCAGGTTGTTCTTCTAGCAATCGTAAATAGCGATTGGTTTTAGGCGTTTTAGGTTGATTTTAAGAGGTTTCCCGCTCATCTTTCTTGATAGAAACAGAAACTAGCGCAAAAATGAAACGCTCCCAAATGATACGGATCGATATAAAGCAATACGTATCGTAGAACGAAAGCGATTGGTATCGGTTGGGATCGCTATGTCTCACTGAACGCGGCAAAAGTTATGATTGTCACAGGCGCAGAAGAGAAAAAACTCTCTCCTGTGTCACAGGACTATTTAAAAAAATTAGATGAACTAAGAAGTAACAAAATAGAGCACGAAGCACAGCCATAATGAGAGTAAAATTAGTATTAATTCAATTAAATATAAAAAAAATTATAGAAATCATACTAACGTTGAAAGATGGGGACGAGTTTAATGCTAATTTTACAAAAAAACACTATAAAAATGGTTATAATTGTATTGTCTGTAAAAATATTTGAGTTTGAAACGTACATATTTATTATAAGGATACTATAAATTTGCTTCAATTTCATCAAGGCAATTAGGAATTTTCTTCGTCCAATTTAAATCGCAGTGTAATAGTAATCGTTTTTTGTATATATTATTTTATATTCTTCGTGGTATCTTATATTAATGAATTCAAGCATTTTCAAAGCCTCATCATCTTCCATTATTTCCATTTTGTGTATTGTAATTTTACAAATGTTAATAAATCAATGACACAATGACAGTCAACATCACTCAAAATTATAAAAATTAAACATTTTAGGGTTAAGTAATGGTTTAAGCTGAAAATTTTCTGGGCTTAGTAAAGTGATTCTTAACGCCTTGATAACTGAAACTTTAATAACGGTGCAAACGGTTATGCCTTCTTAAGTGTCACTTAGATGCTAAGTAAAAGCGGTGCG